GGTTTTATATGTTTTGATTCTTTTTTTTTTAAGATTTATTTATTTATTTGTTTGTTTGTTTGTTTATTTATTTATACATGCACTGGGTACAGTCAGAAGCACGGGAGGGTGAGAGAATTCACCAGAGCCAGAGCAGGGAGCAGAGCAGGCAGAAGGACCGAAGTACACTGCTGAGGGGAGCAGTCTGCGCAGGAGAGCTCTGCGCACCATGCAGGACCCTCCTCGGGTGGCCGGGGAGCAGCCCGGGATCGAACTGGCGCTCACAGGCTGCGGGCAGCTTAACAACCCAGTGCTCAACCACAGCGCTACCAGGGAGGCCCTATGTTTTGATTCTTTGTTTTTTTTTCTTGTTTTGTTTTGTTATTGGAAGAGAACATTTTTAGCAATATGCTTCAAACAGCTTCTTGTTACAAAAATTTTTAATTTTTCCGAGTTTTCTGATGACATCAAATATAGATTTAAAGTGGCTAGGCCAAATAGCAGAAAGACCCCAGAATAATTTTTTCAATATTCTTAATATTGGAAACCACCTTAGAACTTATTCCCAATTCATTCACTTACCGGTAAGAAGTACCCTCTCAGCCTACTTGGGGTGTTGCGTTAGTGTATCTTACCTAGTTTGAAACTTTCTTCCTTCATTTCAAGCCTCCTCATGATCGATCCTCTTACCTCTTTAGCCAACCTATTAATATCAGGGGTGGAGGGAAAATGTATTTCTTTTCTCCAAGCGATGGTCCAAATCATCTTCCACAGTGTTATCCATTCTCCAGTGCAGACACTATTAGCTGTGGCCCCAAAACCCTTTTTGTGTTCTTCAACTTTTTAACTCTTTCTCCAGTGTGAAATTATCTCTGTAAATTGCAAACTACAATTATTGCAGGTAAATGAAAAGAAATAAAGAAAAGTGGAGAGAAGGAAAAAGATAAAGATTGGATCATCCTAGCAATTTCATGATTGAGTTGGGCATGGTGTATGTATGTAGATACATTTAAATGATAAATAAACCATATGGAGAAACCAGTACTGCCCACACCTACTTATTTCACTACCATGCAAAGCCTTGGTAGATGACAAGGCTCTCTGAGCAAGCCAGCTTACCCTCCCCTGCTGCTGGGCACCCCCCAAAACAAACTGTAAGGGTATCCTGAGAGAGCCCTAATGGAAACCTCCTTCTCACTTACCCTGTGATACAGTGACGCAGGTCACCCTGCAAAAATGAATTGCAGTGACTTCCCTGCACTTGACTGTTCTGATATCTTCCAGAAGGTTCTTAGCCACTGGAAGGTGAATGATCTTCCTGATGAAGTGCTGGAAGATCAATAATTATTTTTGAGAGAGAGAGAGAGAGAGAGAGAGAGAGAGAGAGAGAGAGAGAGAGAGATGGGTGTATGAGAGAGGGAAGGAGGGATCTCAGGCCAATTATTTTTCTACAAAATACTTTATGTGACAACAGCAGCAGCCCCCAAAGGGCAGCATGTAACCACAGAGCCTAATTAGAATGATTTCAGTGTAATCATTAACTTGCATCTAACACCTACGAGAGCATTTCTGTTTAAACTAAAACATGACCTGCATGGTGGAGAGGCCTTGTAAACTGTCTCTGAAATAAAATATGTGACAGGAAAGGTCAGAGCCGCTCTCATTTGAATTTCAAGCAGGGAACCAGCTCCATGGTGGCCAGTGTAGCAAGCCTGGCGACTCCACTTTCCCAGGCCTTCCTGCCAGCAGTAGCAGTTGGAGAAATCCTCTAGGACTAATTACTAGGATTGCAAAACAAGGATTTTTCTCCTCCTGCTTCTGTCCACTCTCCCTTCTCCTCTCAGAACCAGGGCAGGAAGCAAGGGTCTCTAATGATGTTTGGAAAGAGAGGTGATTTCTTTTGTTGTAGCTTTGAGACTGAAGGTCACCGCTGAGTGGCCTGATCTGCCTGATCCAGACACCTGCCGGGTAGCCCCTAGACCAGGCCTTGCCTAGTCTGGCCTTCCTAGCACGTCTTCCTGCCAGCCAAGCAGGGGAGGGCTTGCTAATAAACTCTCTTCCCAGCAAGAGCGATGCCAAGGCATTGCTTTCCGCTGGGCTGCGTAAAAGCAGCTATCAAATCAGCAAGATGCAACTTGATTTGCAGGTCTCCAGTGAAATTTAAGAAGGCGAACTGTAAAACGTTCAGGGAAAAGGAAGCATGAAAACATTTTTAAGGAAAGCATTTAAAAAGTCAGAGACAGACATAATAATAAAAAAAAGTTGGCAGGGAAGGCTTTATTTATTCATTTTGAAACATTGCAAAGAGCTCTGTTAGCAGCATTTATCTGCCTCTCTCTTTTTTTTTTTTAAAAGCAGCCCCGAAAGCAAGTGAGTTGAATTCATTTCCTTTTTCCTTCTGTGACTTTTTAAAGCATTATATACACTGAGATCTTTTCTGCACTTCTGGGAATTTATAAAGCTATAACATTTAGTCCATAAGCCTGACTTGGCAAATCTTCTTCCTTTCTCTCCTCTCTCCTCATCCCTTTCTCTGTCCTCCCACCATCCCTTAATGCAGGGTCTTTCTTTGTCATGTACACTAATTGGTCCTTTCCCCTCTGTTGATTTGTACTAATTTCATCATTTAAAAAAAAAAAAAACTTTTTCTTTTCTTTTTTTTTTTTTTTTAAAGATTTATTTATTTATTTATACAAGCACTGGGTACAGTCAGAAGCATGGAAGGGTGAAAGAATTCACCAGAGCCAGAGCGGGGAACAGAACAGGCAGACGGACGAAATACACTGCTGAGGGGAGCAGCGGGTGGTAGGAGAGGTCTGCGCGCCATGTGGGACCCTCACCTGGTGGCCGGGGATCGAACCGGCGCTGCAGAGGCTGTGGGCAGCTTCGCAACCCAGTGTTCAACCGCTGCGCCACCAAGGAATAACAACTTTTTTCTAAATCATTGATTGCTCTTCGATATAAACAACTGAAAAGAATGAGAAAATCAAACATACTAGACAACAGTGAGAGAAAACAGGTGTGAGCAAAACCACAGACGAGTGACATGGAGGTGTTTTGCTCCTTGTTATTACACACTGTTTAAGTCAGGAAGGTTAATGGGGCTGGCAGTGTTGAAAGAGAATTATTCACCAAGGTTTGTTCAAGGTGGCAAGACAGAATTTATTCAAGATTATTACAACAGGGGAGAGAGACTGAGTTTAACCCTGAATACAGCGAAGAGCTGGGGGTTTGTAGTCATTTTGAGGGGTAAGGAGGTGGAGAATCACTGAGATGCTGAGGGTAGAACAATTTTTGCTAAACTTACATAGTTGGACTCTTGTCAAAGGCTGAGCAAGAATTTGGATGTCAAGAGTGGGAGATTAGCAGTTTGCTCAGATGAGGGTGGGGTTTCTCACAAAGTGGACTTAGCAGAATCCTTGCCAAGATCAGGCTAAAGCTGAGGCCCAGTCTGCAGGGCTTAAAGGAGCCTAACAAAAGTTTGGTGAAGGAAGAAGTGATGGTCTGTATGTTTTTCTTGGCTTCTTCTAAGTTGGTCAGACAAGTGTGTTTGCATGTCATCAACTTCGATGCAGTGGTGGACCAAATTATATGAAACAAGACTGATTCATAGTAAAGACCTCTGTAATTCCTAAACAGATCTTCATTCCTGAAGTTGATTTATGCTGCTGCTAATAACCTTGGGAAAAGTTAACTCCCGAATATCCAACTGTAGGATTAGCTACCTCAACTGTCTTTGATTTCTATCCCATGGAACTAGAAAAATCTCTGCCTGTGGAGTTGGAAAGCAAAGTTCAAATTCTAACTTTGCAAATATCTGTGGTAGTCAATGTAATCAAACTATTGATGGGCTGACTTTGATAGGGTCCAAGGTAGAAAATGCTGTTTTTCTATTTTTTTCTCCTACTGACTTCAATCAAGATGCATTGAATTTCCCTTTCTCAGCCCAGTATAACAAAGCTTTTGGTTTTCAGAATTTTTATTGATAATTAAAGTTCATCTTAAGGCTTAAAAAAATAATACAGGGCCTCCCTGGTGGCACCAGGGGTTAAGTCTCAGCATCATGAAGCTATCTGCTGCCACTGCACCCCGAGTTCGATCCCCGGCCAGGGAGCTACCCACGTGGTACAGCAGACCTCTCCTCTCTTGCCTGCTGCTCCCTTCAGCAGTGTATTTCAGTCAGTCCACCTGTTCTGCTCCTCTCTCTGTCTCTGATGAATCGTCTTACTGCCTTGCATCTCTGGCCTACACCTCAGCTCTGGCATGCATAAATAAATAAATACTTAAAAAAATAATCTAATCCAACAATTCTAAAACTTAAAACCTTACATAGACCTGGAAGCCTTTCTCTTCTTCCTCACCCTGATCCCCATTCCCATCAGCCCCCAGCTGAGGCCAGATCTGCAATAGGGAAGTAGGTATGGTCTCCTATGCTCCCTACATTCCTTGTTCTTTATCCTTCCCTGTCGTTTGGATCCTACAGGGTTGGGGCAGGGGAATAAGGTAGGGGAAAAAAAAGACAAAGTCCCTAACTGACTGGTGCTATTTACAGTTTTTCTTTGACTACCAAAACACCTGTCATATCCCCCATGCCCTCAAAGGTCTTTAGAGGCACCCCATGGGGACCCCTGTAGTACATAATATACGGGTGCTATTCTCTTAAAATCCCCTCAAGTCCTGCCTGTGGGGGCTACTCCACAGCCTCTCCTTGCTCCGGCAGGAGTTCCTCTTGAGTGTCATCAAGAAAAATAAGACCAGGTCCCATTTTCAGCCTGCGGTGGGCTCTGGAAGCCCACAATCCTTGCCATGTACATGCTGGAGGAAAGCTGGACTGCAGCTGCCTTCAAAATTGTCTGAATTTCTAGCTTGAGACAGCAACAACTTCATAGTCTGTTAAGCTCCAGATATCAAGGAACAAATTTCCAGCCCTCAAATGTAGAGTTCTGGAACTGTACCCCACTTATATGACTGCACCAGGATGAACTGATGGGTTTATTTGTAACCTCTAGGTTGAGCTGACAACTATCCTCTCAGTTCTGCTCAGCAAGATGCTGAATTTGCCTACACAGACTGGATGGCATGGAGGAATCTACCTCTTGGAGATCATGGGGGTAACTTAGCTTATCTGGCTTTCTGAGATTTTTTAAAAAAAAATAACAAAATGATTTTGCCACATAGATAAAGTGAATAACCTCTCTGAGTCTCAGTTTTGTTTTGTTTTTTTTTTTTCATCAGTAAATTGGGAATAAACAAGCCTCCTCTCTTGTTAAAGTTGTTGTGAGGATGAAATGAGACGACACATATGGAGGTGACTATGAATCTCTGCTCTTCCTCTTTCTCCACTGTCTTGTTTCATTTTCCCATGTTTTTCCTATGCACTCGGTTGACAGACTGAGGAAGAATCTGATAGAAATATTGAGGTCTTAATTCAGAATTAAAACAAAAGAATACAGTGCCCATTTCACTGAAGGAAGAAATGGAATCTCAATAGGAAAATCTGGGACTAGGAAATCTCCAGGGTCTCTCAGTGTAAAAGCAGGATACGGAGCAAGGCATAACTCTTTGGTAAGAACCTTCTCCTGAGGGCATGCTTTCCCTTTCCAGATTTGCTCATGTGGTCCAAAAAAATTCTCAGCCAAGTAGGGAAACAGCCTCTTCATCCCCACCCCCACACAGGAATGGGTACTGCTGCTAAGTGCTGCTGCCTTACTACTGGGTTCCTTAGTGAGCTCCCAGTTTATAGCAGGAAGGGGATGGGAGGACTCAATGTAGGGAGTGAAGACTGTAGACCCCCTCAGTGATGTGTCCCCTGCCTGCCTGTAGTGTTCTTAGTGATGGATGATAGTTTAGGGTATAATATCTGCTGTGATAGATCACAGAAAACTATGAAAATTCATAAGGCAGCGTTAGGTGATAATTCACAGGATTCGCTCTGTGTGTGTGTGTGCGTGTGTTTTCTCTTTGTAGTCCCATTAGCTGTCTAGGTGATTATGTAGAGTTACACCATTTTGACAATCTATTGTTTTCCATCTGCCCTGTTCTCTCAACCATGTGATGGAGAAAAAGAGCACTTGTCCTTTGATAAAAAGGTGGTTGGTCAACAGTCCCTTTTGTTGCCCTTGAATCTCTGCCTCTCCCTCTTCTCAGCTGCCTGAGGGAGTGTGTGTTTGTGAGTGTGGACTTGAGGACTCTGCCTTTGCCATTACTGCTTTTGTCACTCTGGGAAGTTCTCGAATTTCTAATATAGTGGATTCAGCTGCCATGGAATAGTTCTATTCCCTAATCCTTCCAGAATGGGCAAGAAGGTGGGAATGGGGTGCAGATAATTTGGGAGAGTTAGTCTCTAAGAGAACAGGATTGTGGAAACATGGAAAGATTTTTGTTTCATGTTAAAAGTTCAACGTTGTCAAATACTTACAAGCTGCACCTTATTGCTTTAAATATTTTGTTATACCAGCCTGAACACTTCCTGGTGTCAATAGCTTCTTCCACATCCTTTTTTTTAAATCTGAAGGGGCATCTCAGTGTGGAGGAGAAAAGACACTGAGTCCTGCTTCATTTTGTCAGAGACTATGGCTGAGACATTCATTCTCTCCCTTCCAAAGGGAAGCAAATTGATGAGAAGTACAAAAAGTCTCTGGTTGGAGTTAATTTGACAAGGCCTTTGCTCTCAGGGAGAAGCTATGGGGGAGTTGAGGCTCAAGGATTTCTGTGGCTTGTGTGTGTAAGCCATCATGACTAGTATTTGCACTTGTAGGGAACAGAATGGTTTGACCTGGAAGTGGGGGCTGGAGGTCATCAGCTTTACGGTAACCACAGACAAATCCCTCACTTTCTGATCCCTGTGATTTGTGGTGTGGCTATGCCTCCACATGCTCTCTCTTCATCTTCAGTCAAATCTTGCATCTGGCCAGCTCCTAGGGTCTTCTCCCTGGCATTTCAGACAGACCCAGCAGGAGTGAAATAAAGGAGCTACTTAATTGGTGGACACCTGGTAGAATGTCCAGCAATGTTGAGCTCCACCCTAGGGGCACTCATTCAGGATGATCATGATTAGGTAACATCTGAGAGCCATTTCACTGTAATACTGGAAAGAAGAAGGTGTTTTTCTCAGCAATGCTTTTATTTTTATCCTCTAGGATTTAGGCCTTTCCACTTTTACAATAAGTGACACTGTCACATACCCAGGCAGGTCACTGAGGGACTTTGAGCCTACTGATATGTGAAGGGGCTCCTGCCAGGGATATCCTGTTGCTTCATGTGACAGGAGAAGCCAAATCACTTAAGACACCACTTTAGCTTCTTTTCCATTTTCTCAGCTCCCCTTGAGTCCAGGCGGGGTTCTGTGTAGAAAGCAAAAGTGGAAAAAGCCCCCTTGGCTTAAGTAGAAAACCAAGTTTGCTGTTTCCTGCCAGGCCTGTGCCAGGCTGCGGGAGCGTGTGGATGTACTTATGCTAAGGCAGCTTGCCAGAAACTTTCCAGAGAGTTTGATATAATGAAAAAGAAAGAAAAAAGCTTAAAGTGGGAATGTCAGCATATACTGTGAAATGACTACTTGGGTCATTAGGAAAGAGTTTATAGACATTGTTGCCATCTTAATAGCCATAAAATTACTAAGAGATAATAATCCTAATGACAGGCCTTCTTTACAGAGTACCCACTCTTACTGATGAGGCACAGATGCACGATCATTAATTTTTATAGAAATCTTTCCAGTCAAGTTTGTTTATTCCCATGTGATGGAGGAGGAAACTGAGGGTTAATACCTAAGTAAATTGCAAATGTCCCACAGCACTTGTGGTAGGCAGAAATAATAGATACCCCAAAATATCTCTTTCCTTTCCACAAAAATCCCCAGAATTTGTGAATATGGTAGGTTATGTGGCAAAGGGAAATTGAAGTTACAGAGGAAACTACTGTTAATAATCAGTTGATTTAAAGAAAGTGAGGTTATTTTTCTTTTATTTTCCTTTTTTTGTGTGTTGAAGAAATGGGGTGTGGGTCAGAGTTGCGGGGGGTGAGAGGATTCATGAGAGACATAATGGGGAGCAGAATAGGTGGTTCTACTGAAATACACTACTGAGGGGAGCAGCAGGTGAGATAGGAAAGGTCTGCTGTGCCATGTGTGTTGCTCCCTGGCCGGGGATAAAACGCAGGCTGTGGCAGTGATAGCACTGCGACTTAACCCGTAGGCCACCCAGGAGGCACCTATTTTGATTTTCTTAGGGGAAGTTCAATGTAATCCCATTGGTCCTGGAAATTACATGAGGGAGGCAGAAAAAGAGTGAGGTGCTAGGTAAGATGTGATGTGAGAAAGATACAACTGTTGGCTTTCTTTCTGAAATGGGGTCTTAAGGCAAGGAATTGGAGTGGTCCCAGGGAGCTGGAAAGGATGAGGAGAAAGGTTCTTTCCTTGAGCCTCCAAAGGGATAGAGCCAGCAGACATGTTGATTTTAGCCCCATGAGATATTTATCAGGCCCTGGATCCACAGAACTACAGGAAGTTTACGTGTGTTGTTCTGAACCTCTAAATTTGTGTTAATTTGTTACAGCAGCAGTAGGAAGCTCATACAGTACCCACGGGTCAGAAACAGGACTAAAATGAAATCCATAGTTTATCTTCTCTCACTATGCAAAATGACCTCTAAATTGCTTGATATATAGAAACGACGTCAGGAAAACCCTACCCAACAACCTAACCTAAGTACTTTTCTTTATCTTTTCTGCTCAGTCCTGTGCTTTCTCCCTCCTCTCTCCATTTCCCTAAATTAACAGATTCTTGCTGTAAAAGAAATTGATTCTTTACTCCAAAGTAGGTCATTATAACAAAGGTTTTAAATCATTTGGTCCTCCCATTTGTGAAATATAGACTTCACTTTAATCTTCTGTGCATTACTAGCCATAAAAAAGGCCCATAATTTGTGAAAAATGGGATTTCCCCCCCACTATCAATCATGTGGGCAGTTTTGTAAGTTTTTCACTCCCTTTTCATCCTCTGAGTCATACCTGGAAGTCAGAAGGACTGGCATTCACTCTCACTGACAAAGCACCCTCATTTTGGCTGTACCTTCAGGACCAAATTTAGAGATGTAATGAAATATTTGGTTCCAATAGCCAAATTGGTAGGACCCCTGCTTCTTCTCCTCCCATCATTTCTTTCAGTCTCCAATTCTCTGTCTTAAAGACCTTTATATTTAAGTAACTCTTTTAATCTCTCAAAATTACTGCATTTATTTTGAAAAACTCAAACTGAGTTTTCTTTGTTGGGAAAGTGTTAGAATAGTTAAATTTTCTATTCTGTCCTCATGTTTGCCCCCACCTGCACTGGGGATGCTTACAGATTATTTGGAATTGCTTTTCCACTTCAAAAGATCACCTTAACAAACATAGAAAACCTACTGTCATCTAGGACATACATCAAGTGGGACAATAATAAAGATCTCATTTCACTCTTAGATCTCAGAGTCTAATGGTTACAAGATAGGTGTGTTCTGCAGTGCTCACATTGTTCTGAAACATCGCTTTCCTTGTTTGTCTTCCTCTGTGAGGTAGGAAACGTTAGCTCTGGGCTTCAAGGGACCACGTCTTATGTTTTCCATCAATTCTGAGTTCCAAGTACAGGGTGCTTGACATGTAACTTCCTATAAATTTTGGAATCTGGTAGTCCTGGGTTCTAATTCTGCTGCTTGCTTACTGTGTGTATGCACTGAGTCTATTTACTTTGCCTCTTTGGCCTGCTCATCTGTAAATTGGAGCATGGAAATCTACAGTGAGGATTAAGTGAAATGATGAATTTAAAGCACCTAGCAAAGTCTTAGCATTGCACATAGTGGGTCTGCAATTTAAAAAATGTGATGCTCAAAAATCATGTTGCACATATCCGCATTCTAGCTTCCTCACCTGTTAAGAAAAGTACTTCATTTCTCTTTGCCTCAGTTTCTTCACCTATGGGCATAATGGGACTAATGACAGTGTTTACTGCAGAAGTTGTTACATGTGTTAAGTGAGTTGACACACAGAAGGCAGCTGGTGTCAGAGACTTGTACACAGTAAGTATGCTATGAATGTTATTTATTAACAACTTATACTCTTCCTCTGACATCCATTCCATTTTATTTAATTTGCGTTCCTTTTTGGTACCTTACAATAATACATGTGAGGGAAAAGCTAGTGAATCCTAAGGATTGTTCCAAAATCCTTCCCTCCTCTTTAAAATGTTACAACTTATGGGAGCAAAGATCCAAAGCCAAGTCTCCATGCTCATATTTTCTTGGGGTCCAAAGGGAAAGAAACTGTAATTTTGAAAAACCATGTTTCAGGCCTAATGGAAGTAAGACCTCCTCTGGCAGAAACATAACTTCCTCCCACCCTGGATTAGACCCAATGTTTGTAACAAATAAAACTGCTGTGGGCTTTACACTTAACACAACAACAGCAACAACATCTTTGTCTGAAAAATTATATATACATATGCTTAGTTTTCTAAATAACAGCACCGCAATATGGGGTGTCAAAAATTACAGCCAGCTCTAGATTTTTTTTTTTCATTGCAAGGAAAAATTTTACATAACCTAAATCTGCACTTGTGTTGGAAACCAGGATTGTCAGATCGAATTTTAATTTTTGATTCGCCCCTTCTCGTGTCCCTTATGGAGTTCATTTTCTTTGTGATATTCTAACAGCCTCTTTCATTAGGGGCCCACATTTGTATTGGTCAAATAAACCTCTCCTTCAAGTTGTCCCCCAACCTTTCATTTAAGAGCTAAATGAGGGTAGCATCTCCCTTTCCTGTCAACTTCGTTTTCCCATCAATATCACAGTACGTTTGAAGGTTTAAAACAAAGCTATTTTTGAGTTATCCAATCACAAAAAACATCTGAAAAATGTCTGAGCAGGTGAAAAACACCCCCCTTTACATGCTCTGCTAACCCTGAAACGTCCGGATGGAATTTGAGCTGAGAACAAGGATGAAGAATCGTAGAACAAGTGGTAATTGCTTTCAGCAAGTCAGAAGTGCCTGAAATCAGTGTACCCTTGACCAACGTGATGCCCTACTCCTCACTTCTCAAGAGTCAGAGAACTAGTTTTTCAAAGTTATTTTCCACTTGACTCAGAGTTCCACATCTGAAAGCTCCCCACATGGTTGAAAATCCTCTAAGGAATACGAGTGGCATATAGTGAAAGCACTTCTTGAATGGGAACATGGTATAAAATTAAGCTGATGAAGTTTAGTGACTCAACTTATGTCTCCTTCTCTAAGGTCTCAAAGGTAACATGGTTTGCGTTCTTGAGCAGTGGTTTGACTGGCACCTGAGCACATGGTCTCAGAGTTATAGAGCCTTGGAGCCAGAAGGAGCTTGTGGACCTGGGCCACTGGTCCACTCCTTTGCACAGACAGAAATCCGAAGGCCAGAGAGGTGTCAAGGTCACTCCTGCTGTGTTTGTTGTTCACACTGGCTGTTTAGAGTTGACCCCTGGCAGGATCTCAATTCTCCCTTTCTTCTCTCCCAACTTTACTCCTTTCCAAGGTGGGTCGCGTTCTAGGAAGTCACTGCATTTCCAGGAAGGAAGTTCAAGGGAAGAAGCACTAGGGAGGAAGTTCTAGGACATTTAAGTGTCCACAGTTGTAGCAGAAGGACTGCCTTCACATTCCCCTCTTCCATCTAGATGCCTGGGGAGAACTTTGCATTTGGCCTCTGTCCTTTTTTCCAAAGCCTTGCAGAAATTGCTGTTCAGCTCAGTTCCCTTTTGTGCATTGGAAACCAGGGAACACTTGCTTATCTGTTGCTTCTAGAAATGTGTGTGTGTGTGTGTGTTTTGTGTGTATATGTATGTGTATGTGTGTAACCTCTCTCTAGCCAGGGCTATGTCTGATCTTGGGGGAAAGGGGACACAGCAGGCCTGTGAAGGAGTTTGGTTCTAGACCACATAGAGCTACAGAGACCGGGCAGCAGAGGGCCTCTGTGGACTGAAATCTAGTTCTCCAGAATTCTATACAAGGGCCTGCAACCCTAGCCTGATGTCCCGGTCCAGACCTCAGCTTCAGTCTCCTGCTAACTTCAGCCATGATAGTAACAAAATGCTAATTTGCATGATCCTTTGTGCATTTTTTTCTATCTTTGTGATCTTGTGTGTGTGTGGGTGGGAGTGGGAGGTGATAGGGGGGTGATAGTAAAATCAGATCTTGTAGTTATGAGTCTTTGTCTGACTTCTAATTCTCTGTCAGCATCAGTCACGCTGTTTTAAATTATAACATTAGCAAACATATAAACATGATATGTGGCAGGCATCATTTTGAAAAGTTACATATTTAATCCTTACAGTCTACCTTTGATGTAGGTATGGTTATAAGCACTATTTTACAAGTGAGGTACAGAGAGGTTGAATGATTTTTTTCAAAGTCACACAGCTACTAAGTGGAAAATTTGGGATTAAAATCCACACAGTCTGACCAAGATAATAGGCTATAATAACTATAAAACACCACCCACATGGGGAAGCTCAATGGATTGTAGGATATCTATGGCAGCTAGCTTGGTAGAGAGTACTTGGTAAATGCAGCAAATACTGCTTGTGAAACTGATGATTTGATTTGGTGAATACAGAAGCTTAAGTGACAGTTTAAAAAGAGGTATGGCAAATCTTTTGAGGATCTGGTTTTTCTGCCCTCTTTTCAGGGGAGGAAGAAAGCTTGTAAATATACTTGATGTGTTCCCTTGAGGACAGCTTACACTGATAAATAAGATGTAAGAAGTTGGAAAGAGAGGTCGTTGCCAGAATCGGTCAATTACTTCTTTTGTTTTCCTGAGGTTACAATGCACCTAACCTTAATGGATGGAACACCCCATATTGAGAATGAAAAGATCAAACCCATGACAGAACCCAGAAAATTCAGTAGGAAGGAGAATTTTGGAGTTGATATAAACTTGTGGTCTGTGGGCCACCTGGAGAAGCTCACAGCTCAGTTTCAACTATTAAAAGCATTTTAGTATTTGCCAAATTAAAAGAAACCCAGAGAATATGTAGAAACTATGATTTTCCAGATTCTCTCTCGAGAAGAACTAGCGATACTGGGCATCAATTCTTACCTGTCAATGAACGCCTTCACTGGGCAGTGGCCTCTCTCTTTCAAATGAGCCATTTAACACCCATTTTCTGAAGGCCCCATCATTTCCTATTGACACTTATAGCACCTGCTTGTCTACATCAGTGCTTGAGTGGGTAACCCAACCTCCTCTTAAAAATGCATTAGTGATTGGGCCTCCCTGTTGGTGCAGGTGGTTGAGTGCAGCGCTGTGAAGCTGTCCGCAGCCTCTGCAGTGCTGGTTCTATCCCCACTGGCCTCGCAGCAGACCTCTCCTGTCTCGCCTGCTGCTCCCCTGAGCAGTGCACTGCATCAGTCTGCCTGTTCTGCTCCCCGCTTTGTCTCTGGTGAATCCTTTCACCCTCACTCGCATCTGGCCTGTACCCCAGCTCTTGTATAAACAATATAAATCTTTAAAAAAAAATGCAGTGGTGATAAGTGAAAGTTAATCTGACTCTCATTTTGAGTTACTATGAGAACATCTCCCCAATTATTTTGGTTCTTTTGATGCTTAATTCCCTATATCATAAAGGAGGTACAGTTGGCTATGGCTCAGACTATCTGGATTTGGGTGTTTGACTAGTTGATGTTAACAGACTCCCCAAGATTGGTTAAATAGCATCAGAGTTTTCAATCCTCTTATATTTCATGAAGTCATTTTACTGCTGTGGCTGATATCTTGACCCATGGGATGGGCTGTAACCTAGGACAACTTGCTACGGGAAGCAGACTGGTATTTTCACAGCTGCCGTCACTGGTCTCAGCGTCTTTCCCAAGAACATCCACCTTGATAATGGGCTGGGTCCTCAGCAGATAATTACCACGAAATTCTTTCCCTCTTTTGCTGAAATCCACCTACCATTATTAGTTAAGCCCTTGCCAATGTACATTCCCTGTGATTTTTCCATGTTCTTCCCCATTTCTCAACCTCGTCCTTTGTCTTTGTACCTCAATAAACTCTGCCACCACCATTTAGCGGGGTCTCAATAAACGTGCTGTAAATGATCAGGTCTACAGCATAATATGAATTTCTTAGTCTCCACTCAGAATTTCATAAAGGGGTGTGCAATTTTCTTTGACCCAATTGCAAAAAAAGTAAATGTGTCTTCTGTAGAAGTTTTTTAGGCAGAATTAGCCAGATCTGAGTTTATTCTCCACTCTGTCACTTTTGTAACCTTCAGGTTGACTACTTCACTTCCCTGAGCCTGACTTGTGAGATCTATAAGAAGGCAACAATTGCTCTTTGAAGAGCGTAGCTCAGAGGAATAAGTATGATCCTTCATTTATTGATCCACCACTGCTGTTGGCACACTAATGGGGCTCAAAGAATTTATTTCACTACTTCTTTTATGACCTGTTTTTTTTTTTTGAGGGGGGTGGGTGCTGATAGGGTGTAGCTGATTATACATTCAACAGTTTATCGATTCTGTGAAGAATTCTCTGGGAAACCAAGAGGCTGGCTTCCTGAAAGGGACAAAACTCATAGCAAGTGTTGCCCCAGTGCTTGGAGACACGTAGTGGGTGGAGGAATCCCAAAAATTCGGAAACAAAGAACAAAGTGGAACTTTTCGATTAAGAAAGGAAAGTGAAAAATGTCTTTTTCTTCCTTTGTCTCTCCTTTAGAAGGACACCAACTTTCTTTTTCAGAGTGGACACTCAATAAATGTTGTTGACTGACAGAGCACAGAATGTTATAGAAGGTTTGCAGGGCAGGGAATATAATATTAATATCCATGTAATGTTTTTATGTTTTAATTTTGGTGGATGAAGCCTGAAGCCTAGGGCAAAAGCTAGTATTTTCATTTGTTTCACCTGAAGTTATATTGGCAAGGGCCCTCAGGGTAAAGAAGAAAAGGATTAGGTTTGGGAATGGGAAAGGGTATGAAGAAGTTGTAATAAAATATATAAGTGCAAGAGCTTGAGGAATAAACA